TTTTGGAGTGTGGACCAACGTAGTGGGGGTACATTTTCCCATGAGACTGGGTTATTCGTGGACGGGGCCGCCTTTTACAGCTGCTTTTTGTGTCTCTGCTTCTGTCTCCTTGAACCCCAGTCGGCCTCAGCAGATGGCCGCTCACACTGAGCCTGGTTCTGCAGGAGGTTTCTTCCTGTTAAAAGGGAGATTTTTCTCTCCACTGTCGCTACAAGCATGCTTAGTGTGAGGGATTGACTTGAATTCAATGAGTCGATGCAATCAACTGGTTTTCCTTAGATAGAAAACTTTGAATCAATTTGACTGGATTATCTGGTTGAACTGGAAAGTGCCTTGAGATGACATGTGTTGTGAATTGGCGCTATAGAAATAAACTGAATTGACTAAAAGCACCAAACTCTGTCCTACTGTGCGAGACGATCATAAGCCTGCCTCTTTCTCTCTCTCTCACTATGCAGAGCAGGCTGCCTGCACTGCAGCAGAAAGAAAACCTTTCCAATTCAAATCCAGATTGCAAATACAATGTGCCCATGCAAAGCTGCTGCTAATCCTACCCTAGATCGCAAGATTAAATTATGCAAAGAATTTTTAACCGACACTGTTGTCTCACATATAAAACAACTAATGGTGCATTTATGTTCCAATTGCTATGGATTGGGGAATAATTGCCTGAAATATATGACAACAGGTATGCAAATTAGGTGAGGATGTCATCTAGCACCTTTAAGGACAGCCAATAGGGAATTTTTCTGCTAAGGATTTACAACAATGCATCTTCCTTTAGACGTTGTTGGACTGCAAACCTTAAATGTTCTTCAATACAAACTTTATTCAAATAAGCTGAAAAATTGATGTTTCTCTGTAAAAACTAAAACTCCCAGTTTGTTGGACAACTTGTCTTCCTGAACACCAGGAGGTTCTCAGGCCTACAGGAGGAACTCACCATCTTAGGACTGAACTGTCCGTGCGAAAGCTCCCCGACAAAAACAAGGCCATTCGGTGAAGACTTCTGCAGCAGGTTCTTCTTCACACCCTCAATGGCTTGGAGGTAGTCCTCCAAGAACCTGCAGACCAAAAGGACCAGAGGAGCAGAACTCAGGACACCTTGGGTGAGTTATTGGGTCAGTTTGTAACAGAAACTGTCCTATTGCTTGCAGGAACTTACTGGTCCTCCTTCCTGCCCCCCTGGATCCACTGCTTCAGCAGGTATTCATAGTAGCTGTCTGCTCTGGCTCCCAGGGTGTAGATGCCTTGATGGCTGAACTGTCCACTGTTGGTGTTGATAAACATGGGAACCAAACCGTCCAGCTTGCCGTCAAGCTTGTGGACCTGGCTCATGACTTCAGCGACAGCAGCCTGCAGACAGGTGGGCGAACTTCAGTTGTGGTAAAGAGAAGTTCAACACAATGAAAAACAAACAAAATGGTTCATGAAGAAATGGCCTAAGGCTGGTGGTCTTCAGGGACCCTTGTCCTTAATTTTTCAGGGGCCTCCTTGCTGCCATCATCTGAATCAGGGACATTAACAGAGACATCTAAAGGCGGGCATACACTGTACGCGTTTTTGCCTTTTGCGGCCGCTTCTCCAGCCGTGTGAGAATTTTTTGGATCGGGCCGAGTTTCAGCCTCTTTGTGCGTCCTGTATCGTGTATGAATCAGGCAGTCATGAGGGGCCATTAGTCTGTGACGACCAGCTCCCAATCAGGAATCGTAAGGTCAAGAGAAAATCAAACCCGTTTGAAATTCAGTCGGCCCTTTTAAGGTGTTTGTGGGGAAATCCTTCTGAGCTACAAGTCTATTTACCTGAACCTTGTAGACTGTTCATGTGCAAATAAAGAAATTCTTCTTCTTCCAGATTGACGGGTCCCACCAGCAACATCTCTCAGCATCGAGTCCGATTTGTGGTTTTTGGACATGCACTGTAAGGAGTTTCGTCGTACAGTTTGAGCTGGAGCTAAGAGCAAAGAATTAGGATATCGTACCGTCTAAGTCCGGCCTAGAACACCTACAGAAATTTTTCCTGAGAAAATACAAGCAAAGGAGACAAAGTTGGTCTGAACCATGGATCAGCAACCCAAAATGTTAATAGAGCCAAACTGGACCAAAAAAAAAAAAAAAAAACAGAAAAAAAATCTGTCTGGAGTTGCTAAAATGTAAAATGTCAGCCTCATGGCAACACAGGCTCTAAGTGTATTAGGACACTATAGAAAAGGACTAGGTGGGCTTAAATTTATAATAAGCATTCATGATTAAATGTTTATGTGGAGAGAATGTCGCATTTGTGATTCTGCTGTATGATATTTGGTGCTTTAAGTTTAAATTCAATTACAATATTAATGTATTGAGTTTTGTTGCATTGATGAAATTCTGGAAACTCAAAGAAATCCAATTTATTGTGTCCTTTTTTTATTTGAGGATTTGTGGGGGGAAAAATGGAAGAAAGTTCCCATCACTGCATCAGAGCTCTACCTGTTCGATCTGTGGACGGTTTTCTATGCTTGCAACCAAACTAGCAGCAGTGGTGGAGTCTGGAGAT